CATAAAAAAAATTCATAAGAATCTTTCGAGCCGTTTCGGAGGAGTATGGGAACGAACATTGTGACACGAGAATTTTATATATAAGATAACATGGGTTTGCGAGACTTGACTGACTCCAGGGTCTCTTTTACTCAGATCCCCGAAGGACCCTTACCGTTAAAAGCAGCTTGGAAGCCGACCGTAACAAAAAAAATTTGCCACTCTGAAATTGTATTACATTAGTTTGAATTTCTACCTCCCTTGTTGCAGTAACTCTGAAATATTAACACAAAACTGTAGATTAATTAAACATTAATATTACGGAAGTGAAAAGCCCCAACTGTAAAAGGCCTACATTATGACAATAAAAAAATACAAAAGATGAAAGCTTTGCGAATTCATAAACAGCTTCCCAAAGACTTAAAACGGACGATCCCTTACGAAATCGGAAACAATAAGAATTACCAACCCGTTTCTCATTTTCCAACAGTCGTAATGTTTAATTTTTGTTCACATAAAGCTTGCAAAGTATAGATTTTGTATGAGATTCGTTAATCTTTTTGATAGCTAAGGTTTGAGTAAGGCAATAGGGTGGCAGCCCCCAAAATGTCACGGGCCCCCGACCCAAGAGGGCCCCTGCCCAAGAGATATTATGTTCTAAGGATGTATGTGAAGTCTCCAATACGCATTGGGCTAGCTTGGGGACTACAGACCATTCCCTAAGGGAGGAGGCCTATGGCCATTAGTGGGACATAAATATATACAACGTGTAATTGAGTACGCTGAAAATCTTGAAGTTTAAATTAATCTGAGTACAACATGACGATTTTTACTGATAGGGCTTCAAAATAATTTTCCACGGGCCCCAGATGGTATAGTTACGCCACTGGGTGTTAGGCTTTCTAACGCAAAACAGCGTTTGCTGGGGATCAAACTTCAGTTGACTTGACCTCACCACAACAACAAAATAATAGGTTGGGGAAAAAGATTCTTCGCATTTTTCAAGAAAATTCACAATATTTTTTAATATAGTTTATTTACATTTAACTAAAGTATGTAGGTACCATTTTGTTCGATAACTTTTTGCCATCTTGTAGGTAGGGATATGATCCCATTGGTATATAAATTTTGGGGCTTCTAGCGTTATCTTGATGAAAAACCACAGCCCTTCTGTTGATGAATTCCAGCCGCTTTCTCTCAACTCCTTGCTTTAATATCATCAGTGTTTCGCAGTAGAGTTTAGAATCGATGGTAAAAAAAAAAATAATAAAAAAATTCAAAAAGCTTAAACCAAATTTGTGCTACTCTAACAGACACTGCACTAGGTCCATAAAAATCGCAATTTTTTTTCGCGGCTTGCGTTGCATTATTACCTTTTTTGTAGTAAAATTTTAAAATGTATCGAATTTCTTCATTAGATTCACTTATGTTGACGGTACGAAAAATAAATAAAAATCACACATTATCCTAATATGAATTTGGAATTATCTTCTTTAAAATCTCAACTTTCAATGATAACAAAAACAGGCAAATACATATAGTATAGCCAAAGAGATTTTATTACAAGTTCATACATAGTATAATGCGAAAAGACTTTTTCCCCAACCTAATATATATTCGATATAAAATAACAACTCGTGGATATGAAGCTTACTTAAAATCTGTACAATGGTAGGCCGTCAGGTATAATAAGTATATAATATAAGTTTGATTGATTAAAAAATAGATTTGTCAACACATGAATTTATCGTGTCAAAGCAGTTGATTTACAAGCTGGAATATGCGGTTGTATATTCTAACTATAACTGTGTCATATACTGTGGACATAAAATGTACGTCATTTCATGAGTATTTTGTTTACACACTGCAGATTCTACATTAAAGTTCAAGTTAAAGCTAAGTTTAATTACATATTGAGACATTTTAAGTTATACGTTATATATATCTTGTGTTAACAACAGTTTCGTGTTTCACGTGTTTCGTACTTTGCAAGAAGCATGTGTTTTATGTTAGCATTTTTGAAGTTATACTTCTTTATACGCGTTGCAGACCAAGAGCTAAGCTACGTTAGTTTAGCTTAGCTCGCATAGCTGACGCAATTTTCCATACGTCTGTGCAGACCGCAAACTATGCGAACTAAGCTATGTGAGCTAACTAAAATATGCGAAGCTAAGTTAGTTGTGTATGCCGATGCGCAGCTACACGAGCTAAGCTAAGCCCCTCCCGCTACCCCGCACACCCTTTGCACATAGTATGCAACACTGACTGAGCTTTGGGTTAGCTGTTGGTGTGCACGCTATTTATTTCTAGCTTAGCTTAGCCTAGCTTGCTTGGCATAGCTTAGTTTAGCCTTGGCATAGCTTAGTTTTCGGTCTGCAACCGGCTTTAGGCGCGTTATGAAAAATTGATGAGAGTGAAATTTAACGATGCGCGTGCACCGTTACACAAAATTATCAGAATGAAGTTGCCCACGAAAGATGCTACGGCATTGGACATAATTTAAAAACAACATTCGAATAATAATAGAATTTATGTTACACTTTATATTAGAGAATAATAATAAATATTTATTTATTTAATTTTTCAAATGTAAACTGAACTTTATTGACTATAATGATTCCTTTTGCAGTCTTTGATTATTTAATTGTAATTAATTATTTGCATGCAATCAAAAACTATTTTTAATAATGCCAAAGAAGTATGACTTCTTACACGCACCCTTTTTTTAACGACAGCATATTCCCTTCTAGGAAATTACATGTTTTTTCATATATGTGAACCAGTACTTAGGCAGGTGCATCAGTCAAGCCGTGCTAGTAATTATTAACTTCAAAAACATTTAATAATATGCCTTTAAGGGGCCTCATAGCCTAGCGGTCTTATTAAGGGGCAGCTAGGTGAGGGGTACCGGGTTCAATTTCCGGTTCGAGGGCAAGTTTTAATTTAATTTAAATTTGTTCACGGCCTTTGGGAGGGTTTTGCGGTACCGGGCGAGTGCCTAAACCGTGCATGGAGGACACGGTCGAATTTCTAAGGCAAAAAGAACGAATTATAAAAATCCTATACTTGACGCTGGCTAATGCACAAATCGTGCCAGAGCCATAATGAAAAAAAAAAAAAAAAATATGCCTTTAGACTGACACCCACTTTCAAAGTAAAATATTTTTTTATTTAAATAATATTGTCGAATAAAAAATATATACCAAAATTTTATATGTGTTTCAAAATATTATCGGCTACAAAATGTTTTACTTAGCTTAGCTATATTTGTCGTAAGCTTCGTAAGCCGGCCTTGTCCTGATAAATCGACACCGAATTTACATTGCTATCGCCTCCACTTGGCCAAAAGCGTTTCGTTCCATTGTTCGCCTTTTCTTTTTGGACGCCTGTCAAGGTCATATAAATTACATTGTTGCGGATTCCGGGAACAAAATATGTCTATATAGCAAATAAAATAATTACATTTTCTTTGTTCATAGACATTTCTGAAAGTCACGAAATATTCAATTAGTTGTTGATGAACGTTTTCATTAGAATTATTATAATATTATTTAATTTATGCAGTTATTTCTTTGAGTGTGATAATTATAATATCGATCGATAAAGGGTCATGAATCGATCCTAAGCGAAGGTAAACAGTTAATAATAATAAAACCATTTCAATTCCATACTATGAAAATTACAAATCAGATGGGTGTTAGTTTTGTGATTATAGAGTAAGTCTACGTTATATATTGTTATTTACATTACTTCGTGTTTAGTATGAACCCCTTTTGGGTAAGGAACTTTCCATTTGATTTGAACATTTCTTTTCCTCGAGCTTTTTCACCGTCTTTTGTCTGAACATCTTGCATTATGGCCTGCCCATTATGTACTAATATCGATTACTCTATAAAATGTGAACTCACATGTGTATTTAAAAATTAAATAGACGGATATCTATCGTTGTTTTTTTATAAGGTTTAATGTGAACAAAAAAGCCTGCAGGTAAAACATACTACATGCTTTGCATTCCACTATGGATTTAAGCTTTTTATTTTTGCGTCGAGAGCAACATTAGTTGATCATGCTGTGCAAGGATCAGTCATCTAAAAGACGTCGAAGTTGAATTAAAAACATACCTATACCGCCCGATGGTAATCATCACCGTAAGCGGTTATTTATTTATCTATAAGGAATCATGACAGACACATTGCAAATACAAGATATATAAACAATATTTTTTTTATTTTTTTATTTATTCCATATCATTATTCTATCTTTACAGTAATTACTAATTCGATAGAACAACACAATATTTATACCCACACCAATTAACCTAGATAAAAAACATTAAAAAATATATTTATATACCTAAATCTTATAACTAATAATATAGGAAGCAACTCTTGTGAACTCAGCCAGTGTACAAACAAATAGGTCTACCTCAACAGAAATCCTATTTATTATGTGTATTGCTCGCGTGAGTGGTGCTTCGCTAACCAAGTTGGAATGTGCGCGCGGTACATCCAAAAGTTGAGACTTCCGCCTCAGGTTTCTACTTGGTACCCGTAGACTCGGTCTCACCATTATATCCAGATTATGAACCCGACCCGTAAGTATCTTAAATATATACACCGACAAGGCTAGCTCTCTTCTGAGGCGTAGCTGGTCATATCCCACCATACCCAGAACAAACAGGGTCGGGTACATAAGTGGATACATAGGATACACTCCATACAATCTCTTGTAGAGGTACTGGGTGAATTTATTTTGTATTCGCTCTAACATGAGACTGTATTTAGCCTCATATGGGGCACACACCATTGCATTGCACTCCAAGTGACTTCTGAATGTACAATGTACAAGTTATAATTATAGAAGTGTCCTTAGACAAAACAATTACAACAACGATTTTAAAAGGCGCTGAAAAACACTAGAGAGCACGAAATCATATCAACTTTGAAAAATTGAGTTAGTCTATATTGCGATTATAGAAAGAAACTACATTAGTTTGGAGCCTTCTAGACAAAAAGGCCCGTATGAGACCCCGACACATTTTAACGGATTCGGATGATCCCATCACGTTAGGCAACCGCAACAGCAAATTTAGATTAGGGTAAAAAGGTGAGGTCCCTTACTTCGTACTTCGCTCACACCAGTGAGCTTCCGTCCTGGCCTTCAGGCGATCACAGAAGACCCCCTTGAGCTAGTCGTGGAAAAGAGACCATTTCCGACTGAGCTACTCTCGCCAAAATAACCTGTCTAGGCGCTTCAAGCAAACAGCAAAATTCCATTAAAAACTTACAACTTGGATTCGGGCTAACGCACGCAAGAATCGCTGAAATAAGCTCATAAATCATACATTTATCCCCTTAATTTCGTAGTTCTTTTGCCAACTATAAAATAAGTTTAATTTTATAAACACATGAACACTATCCGTCACATTCCGCATATTTTAGCGGGACGCGTTTCGTATATTTTTATGCGGGACATTTGTCACGCGTAATGTCCGTATAAGTTTTCTTTTTATGTTCCGAAGCACTTTAACATTTATTTTTTTATACATCGATTTATTATTATTTATTATTGAATATTTGATGAAAGCAATATTTTATCTAGACCTAATTGGAACTTTACCACTTTTATGATATGCATCAGTATGAAGAGCGTTTAGAGGAGTTGTTCAGATTAATACCTGCAGCTGAGTTTCATCATCAGACGTCGAGGCAGAATAGGAAATTCCACCCGTATCACCTCGACGTCCGTCTTACCACAACCGCGCACCACCACTATGTGGAGCTGCCTACTGAAGTATTTCCGAACCAATGCGATTTTCTTCATGAAAAGAGCGTACCAATTCTTAAAAGGTCGGCAACGCACTCGCGAGCCCTCTGGCATTGAGAGAGTCTATGGGTGGTGGAGGTATCACTTAAAATCAGGTGAGCCTTCTGCCCGTTTGCCCCCTGTTCTATAAAAAAAACTCTAAAGTGCCACTGTCTATAGGGTTGGTTGATCAAAAACCTTGCTTGAACATAGTTTGAGGTTCCAAAAGTTTTTATGTCTTACTCAACTCTAACAAACTTCTTCAGTCGCACTCTTCATTCCTGAAGGTCGTGTTAGTGGCGCCGCGCAACTTCTTCTCTACTTCTATCCTCGGCAAGCCTTTGCTGCTGGTTGATGGTGAGACATGTAAGGGCCTTAACTTCATCGGTCTAACGAGTAGGGGATTGGATTCAAGGTCGGTACCCTCCACTCTGCCAGGCACGATGAGTTTTTCTAAACTTCTGGATCTCTGCGTGTTACATGTCCAATAAAACTCAGGATGCGTTGGTAACAAAGTGACGAAAGACGATTTTTTACCTGTAACCGTTTTAGTATCGGTAGCAGTGTTGGCCTAGTGGCTTCAGCATGCGACTCTCATCCCTGAGGTCGTAGCTTCGATCCCCGGCTGTGCACCAATGGACTTTCTTTCTATGTGCGCATTTAACATTCGCTCGAACGGTGAAGGAAAACATCGTGAGGAAATCGGCTTGCCTTAGACCCAAAAAGGCAACGACGTGCTTCAGGCACAGAAGGCTGATCACCTACTTGCCTACTAGATAATAAATGATATTAAAACAATTACAACAACGATTAAAGATATAATAAATAAATAATAATAAATATTAATAATAATTATAATAAATGATCATGAAACAGATACAGAAATCTGAGGCCCAGACCTAAAAGAAGGTTGTAGCGCCATTGATTTATTTATTTTAACCGTCTTAGTATGGACACGTTTAAGCAAATGAGGAAACCCTCATACAAACAAGCACAGATCAAGACAGCCACCACCCTGGAAGCCAATACGGTAGATTTTTTTAATTCTAAACGTCAAAGAATAACTTTTATATAAATAAAGTATTCTATTAATTTACATTTGACCTTTAACCAAAAGATCAAATGGTCCTATCATAATAATTACTTTAATATTCCGGTCCTTCCTTTTATAGTAAATTTTCGCTTACTTTCAAAACAGTACATAAAATTTCCATCAGTTACTGAATAACTATGAAAAAGAACAAGTGAACAACATTAAATAGAAAAGCTTTTTAAGCCTAGCCTGCAAACGGGCAGGAGACTCACCTGTTAAGTGATACATAGGCAGCTGGTTTCACATAGTGGTGGTGCGCGGAAAAGCGTCCTTAAAAAACGCTTAAAAGCTTATAGTATATTTTTAGAGATTTACTTATTTATAATAAAATACGCCATTTTAGAAGTTATACTTCTTCAGGCGCGTTATGAAAAATTGATGAGAGTGAAATTTTACGATGCGCGCGCACCGTGACACAAAATTACCAGTATGAAGTTGCCCACTAACGAATTCTTTTTAAACCAGCCGGGCGTCGCGCGTGCGCGAGTGAGATGGGAATAAGACAATCTACAAGTAAAAATAAATAGAATATGCGTGAAGTTAGCTATGCCAAGAATTTTGAATGACCATAATGACCTTTGTAGTAGACCTTTTAAACAAATAATGGAGTTTTAATTATTTTTTCAAAGAAATTTAGCAATGCTTTTTCACAAAGACCTGATTGTTACTTAGTTAAAAGGTTATGAAACATACCTATTTATTAATTTGAATGAATAATATAATAAAATAATGAATAATAATAATAATTATTATTAATATTAATTAATAATTGAATAATATACTAAATATTAAATATTATTAAACTATTAACGTTAAATATTAATTATTTAATATTTTAAAAAAATATAGAAAGCCAAAGAAGTATAACTTCTTACGCGTGTACGTGTACGTAAGTACACGCACCCTTTTTTTTTTTTAACATGTAAGCAATACAAATCTACCCTTAGGAAATGTATATTTATGAATCGCAGCTCCCAGTTCACCGGCCAGAAATACTCTATTTTTGTAAGATAAATTTCAAAAAGGACATAAACGATTGTAGATAAATAATCATATCAATATATCTATATCAAATAATATCTATATATCTTTAGTTAAGAAGATCTAATGTTAACTTTCTACAATCTATAAGATATGAAAAAAATCTCTATATATATAAAATTATCGTGTCACAATGATCGTTCCCATACTCCTCCGAAACAGCTTGACCGATTCTTCTGAATTTTTATACATATTCAGTAAGTCTGAGAATCAGCTACCATCTATCTCTCAAACCCGTAAGTGACAAGGGGTGTCCACTTTAAAAAAAAAAATGTTTTTATTTTTTTATGATAGAACATACAAAAATACATACAACCACTAATTTTCATCCCTCTACTATAAACCCTTATTTTTTATTATTGTATATAGTTATTTTTATTGAACTAAGTCAGCTGACGGATCAGCTAGTATTTTTATAATATTTACGCTTTGCTGAAACCGATAAATTTTAGAACTACACTTATAAAGAAATATTATCTTATATATAAAAAATTATACAGGAACGAAAAGTTCTACACCTGCTGTGACGAGCCCTACCTGGACATCACCTTCAACATCACCATGAGGCGAAAGACTCTCTTCTACACTGTGAACATCATCATACCATGCATGGGCATTTCATTTTTAACCGTGCTCACATTTTACCTGCCTTCAGATAGTGGAGAAAAGGTATGTACACATAAAAGCCTATTTAATTTAAGATAGCATTGTACTATTATTTTCTATTTTTAGATCCATTCTTATGTATGAATTATTAAAATCAATACCGAAATTAAGTACCCGATATATTGATTCAAGTAAGCAGGGAGTGAATATTTTTATCATTGATAATTTACGGTGAACTTTTTAAATGAAATTTTCAATGAAGTAAGTAACGATACTCAAACATTTCTGAAAATCTTGAAGAAATTGCTTACAAAAGCTTATCTCGGAAAATAAATTCACTTCAAATTCCTGGTAAGAGAACAATGTCTTAAAACAAAATTAAATTATTGAAATATATAGGCGTTTTAATGCTTAATAGGATATCAAAGTTCAAAATTTAATGTATATTTTTATTAAATTATACTATTGCATAATTAAGTAAACAAGCGCTAAAAGCGAAATTTCTTCTACGCATCTTTAAACGCCGAAACGCAACGAAATCGAAAACTATTTAAAAATAAGATAGATACAAGTAATATTCGGCCAAAAATAAAACTAAACGTAGATCAGCCGTGCGATTCTGTTAATCCGTGAGTTCACCTCGCTCTAACAACGCTCCCTTCGTCACTCACGTCATTTTTGGAATCTCATGGTATTCTGTTAAGCAATTTCACATTACATCTTGACAAGCGGAGGGAGCTTGTAGTTTATTGTTTATCAGAATGCCAAATCGTAATATGACTGTTTCACGACTGATTTGAGCGCGACCGCTGCTGCGAAAACCGCTGTGAGGGTTCGAAAAGTGAGTTACAGAATCGCAAGGCAGTTCACGTGGTTGGTATGGTTTTCGTTTATTGTTGTGTATCGTGTACGTATTTTTTAAATATTCGGAATTCATACGAATTAATAATCTTATATATATATAAATAAGTTGCTGTTCGTTTGTCTCGATAAAACTCGTGAATGGCTGCACCAATTTTGCTTATTATGAGCTTAAAATATTTGTGGAAGTTCAGTGAAGGTTTAAACGGTAGAAGATATAATTAATAAGAAAAGAAAACTACTAAACATTACAATTGAATTTAAAAAAAAACTGTTCCTAGCTAAATATTGTCTTTTGTCTTAACGTCACTTGGCTGTCATAGATCCCAGAAGAAATTTATGTTTCATAGTTCATAGAAGTTCTGGTCATCCAGTATATATAATAAAATAATAATATTTTAGTATTGTAACTTAACCTTAAAATTTCATCCGCATCACCTTGATGGCTGGAAATCTTCCACGGTTCGCTTCTTTTGCGAACTAGCGAACTTTGGAATTGTCACCCAGTGGGGTTCTTTCCTGGAAGGTACGACCTCCAATTGTTTAAAAAAGACTAAACTCCTCCCGCTATTCCGACAACGCACCCACTAATTTGGGGAGTCCATGAGCTGCGGTAACTACTCTTTCCCCCCCTCTAACCTATAAAAAAGCGCTTATTATATATCAGTATGAATTTACTTATGAAAAATATAAAAATTCATAATTATTATAACACGAAAACAAAATAATTCTCTTTCAAACAAAACCCTTTAGCTTCTGTTAAAAGTGTTAACAATAGTTTCACAGGGAAAACTCCGGTGAAATAAAAATGAACTTCTTTGTCCCTAATGACAAAAGCGTCGTTTTCAATAATGAGATGCTTTTAAGCTCAAAAGTGAGTGATAAATTATAGCAATTTCTCCAGATATCGGTAAGCTGATGAGCGATCGGCTAATGTTATTTCTGAGCGAATGTGAGTTTTTATCTTTTTAGCTATCGGGACCTAAAGATATGTGATCTGCAAATTAGATTTCCAATCGAATTGGTTTTTGTTTTTAGATTACAATCGTACAGTCTCGGCTTTTTCGAAATGATATTTTATTAAGGCTATTACTTACTGATGTGTATGTTACTTTTGATGTCAAGGATTCGTTTCGTCCAGTAATTGTTTATGTTTTTCAAAAAAAGAAAAATGTATCATAGATCCGTCGTTCCACAACTGAGTGTTTTTAAGACATATTCAAAGTCAAAGTCAACATCATTTATTCATATAGGTAACACAATGTACACTTATGAACGTCAAAAAAAATACATTACGTTTCTGCCGCGCACCACCACTATGTGGAAGTACCTGCCCGCTGAAGTATTTCCGAAACAAATATGCTTAAACAAATATCAATAAAAAAGCGGACCAATTCTTCAAAGGCCGGCTACGCACTCGCGATCCCTCTGGCATTGAGGATGTTTATGTGCTGAACAAAGTAAAAATATTAACTGTAATAGGCATTACAGTTAATACGTAAATGAAAAAAAAACTAATCACTCTTTAAAAGTCTTTACTTTGATAAGGAAAATGGAAATGCGTTTCATATTAAAATTAATTATGACTTCTAGTTTAGGAGTCCATAACGGACAAACGTGACGCGTAATTTATATATACTAAGATTTTCGGTTTGCTCTGTCTCACAGATAATTTGTTGGCACCTTAATTATTAAATATATACTAATAACTTTTAAGTTCTCGAAATATGAATTACAATAGATGCAAGAATTTTATTGGTGTAAGTATAGTAATTTATTATATATATTTTATCCCCAGGTAACGTTATCAATATCAATACTCATCAGTCTCCACGTGTTCTTCCTTTTGGTTGTGGAGATCATACCTCCCACCTCCCTGGTGGTACCACTTTTGGGAAAATACCTCATCTTCGCCATGATCCTGGTATCAATTAGGTAAGTATTTTTCATAATAAAAAGTTGTTTTTCAAAAAAAAATGATAAAGACGACAGATTTATATTTCGGAATGTTTTTAACGAATAAACTTCTTTTTAATATTGCATTCGAAATGTATATTATCCCAATGGCTATATTTATTTCCAATATATTAAAAAATGTTTCTAGCCGTGCCTCTCTAGGCCGGTAGAAAACATACATTTATTGTACATTATAAAGAAGAAAGAGAAGAAGTAGATAACCTAAACCTCACATTATATACTTACACATATATTATTTTACTAATAAAATATATTGTATACGGAAAGACCGGGACTCGAACCAGCAATTACGATTGAAAACCACACGCTTAATCATTACTTAACGATTTCACTATGTGAACAGTTAATTTTACTCTGCATCTTCTACCGCATTTACCATGGAGAGTGTTCAGAGTTGTTCGGATTAATACCTGCAGCTGAGTTTCATCATCGGACGTCGAGGCAGAATACGAAATACGCGTAGCACCTCGACGTCCGTCGTTCCACAACTGAGCGTTTTTAGGCAGTTTTTACCGTGCACCACCACTTTGTGGAACCAGCTGCCCACTGAAGTATTTCCGATCCAATTCGACTTAGGGTCCTTCAAGAAAAAAGCGTACCAATTATTAAAAGGCCGGCAACGCACTCGCGAGCCCTCTGACATATAAAGTGTTTATCACTTAATATCAGGTGAGCCTCCTGTCCGTTTACCCCTGTTCCATATAAATCTTGTTCATATTGAAAATAGAATGAGAAGAGCCTGTCTGTTTGATTAATTGAAGAAAAAAATTTTTAAATGAAAATTACGTATCTTACCTCATTCAAACACAACATGCCACGCAAAAATCTTTTGCTGTTATTTTTTTTTATATGTCGCCAGTGTCCCAATTCTCACACATTTATCAAAATGTATAGTTAGACTATTGAACTAAAATCCGATACAATCTTAGATAGATCTGAAAGTACAATCTGCGTCCTAGAGTACCATCGTCAATTGTATTATTATAATTGTAATTTATAGTTATTTATTTATATTTTTAAGTACAATCCTGCGAACAGTATGCGTGAAACTCGAAAGTACACGGATTACAACCCGCAATTTGCATATAAATTAAAATCCTCAAACAAGATATTTGATTGAGTAACTTTCAAACAGACGACATTAGGCAAAACGTTCCTTTGTAAAATATGCAAACAGTTTGTGATATCCCATTATTGTGAAATGAATGGGGTTTGACGAATAATTTTGTCCTTGAATACATTTGTAATTTAGGTATGGGCCTCAGATTTCTGTATCTGTTTCATGATCATTTGTCAATCTAATAGGCAAGTAGGTGATCAGCCACGCTTTCGACTTTTTGGACAAGCCGGTTTCCTCACGATGTTTTCCTTCACCGTTCGAGCAAATGTTAAATACGCACATAGAATGAAACTCCAGTGGTGCGCAGCCGGGTCTCGAGCCCATGACATCAGGGATGAGAGTCGCACGCTAAAGCCACTAGGCCAACGCTGCTCTTAAATATAAATTAAACCTCAAATGGACTGGTATTCAATTTCAATTCCTTTAAGAAAAGAGTATAGGTAATAATTCTTAAATGCCGGCTACGCACTAGTTAGCAGGCAGTGACGGCGTCTTCTGTCTATGTGGCCGGATCACTCGCCATCAGCCTCCATCAGCCCATAAAACCTCCTTGTTAGGAATGTTAAAATTGTTTGTATGCTTAGACATGTTATACTACTTTACACACAATTTAATATAGTTTATATCAAGATACAGAAGATATTATAATTATTATCTAGGAAAACTGAAGAGTTTTTGTCTTACTCCCAAAATCTTAACAGAATATGGTAGATCCGTTTTTGCGACGGTTTCTTTGATAATATGAACCCAAAACATATTTTGGGTAGTCTTACTTTAAATTGTATTTATGTATTTTTCTTTAATTACTAGTATAAACTAAATGTATAAAAATTACCGCAGTAACCCGTATTTTTTAAAAGTGTTATTCTTATTTTTTATTAAAACAAAACACGAGGCCTTTAAGAACGCTCGCTTATTATATATTATACAAATTTATAAAATATTTTTCTATATTCACGGTTCCTTTACTAAAGCTACCAAATTAGCCAACACAGTCACAAAGCTAAAAGCTCGGAAAAGAACAAAAAGGAAAAAAAATATAGCAAAGTGTTCTCGACTGAAGGGTCACAATGCTGTTAGTCGTGATGGGCTGTCAGCTGGGATTTCACGCAGCCTGTACTATTTAGCCAGATTTAACCTGACATGGTTAATATTGCGAAAAGGCTAAGCGATTTTATTACTAGAATTTTGATTGCTTCTATTTATGTGGTATTTGTTAAAATTAAATCTATTTATAATAAATTCATTGTGTTGTTTTTATTTTGTTGTTTTTCATCTGGTTTTCTTTTCTTTTTTATGTAATAGGAGGCAAACGGGCACGAGGCTCATCTGATGAAAATAACATATGTTTATTATGAAACTTTAGATCCAGGTGCCACTTATTCCACGTCATTAAATTTGAATCGGTAGACCTCCCTACTCATCGGCAAAGAAGACAGAGGGTGTAGGCCGAGAGAAAAAACCGGCGTAAAAAACTCTCGGTACTCTTTAAATAGCTCTGCAAACACTCTTATTTTAAAACAAATATCATATTAATTAGAAGTAGCCTATCTACCACGTAGTCCCAGACCCTTTTTATCATTCGATAATCATTAACTTTATAGAAAACACACTTTTTGCACAGCTTCCTTGAATACATGTCCTAAATTTATTCAAAGCCTTGATATGTAAGAACCTCTGGGATTTTATTAAAGAAGAGTATGGCTTTTCCCAAAAAATGCTTATTAAGAATTCAGATAGTCTAGTACGGGGGAAAATTGCAGCCTGCATCTGTCCGCGTACCCGACTGCGATGTGGATGTTAAGTGACACCCCCGCCCATGTACATCACATGCCTGAAGGCTCCTTCTACAGCATTCGTCCATCAATAATTGGTATTACTCTTTTTTTAAATTGTTGAATTTTTCGGAAATATTTAGTGGGCAGCTGGTTCCACATTTGGTGGTGAACGGCAACTACTGCCTTGTAAATATAATGCATTTCATTTGTGGATCGACTTTTAGTGTTATTGTTCGTCTTTATACGGATATTTTTGTTGCACAGATCTGTAGGATTATACGTATATAAATGAACTATGTTTATTAAATTAATAAATATTAGATAATTAGATTGGGCTATAATTATAGTCTCTGGTAATTAGTAATGACTAAACTCAGTATGCGAGTAGGACATATAAGAGCAATTTCACAGCCTTGACTCTTAATATCGCGGAATTTTATAATAGTCTTAATAATCCATAGCGCACAATTAAATTTTATCATCAAATACCCCACATATTCACCTTTTTTATATAACCACTGGGGTTTTACACATCACCCATCCAATAGTGGTTAAATGTGTTGAATTTTTTATTCCTTTTGCCAGAAGGCTCGCAAGTGCGTTACCGGAAACCACTAGTTTTGAACAGTTAAAATACTGAAATAAAATGATATTTTATTAGTAATCTTAACAATAAAATATATAGTAGTAGTAGAAATAAAATAGTAACATATTGCCGCTATTCTTTATTTACAGAATAATTGTTATATACTGGGTTATATAGAATAGAGTGGAAGGTATATAATTTAACGAAAATATTAATTTGAAATGATATAAATAACAAGCTAAGTCTAAATCACATCAAGATGTTCCGTCTAATAATGATCGGTACCGCAGATAATAGATAAAATCAGGAAATGAAACTCCGATATCGAAATTAACTCGGTTTCGTATCGCCGTTATCGTATTTAGCTTTGATTCCCTACAGCTTTGGCAAAAATAGCCTATTAATTAAATATTTTATTGCATTGCACCTATACCTGCAGCTGAGTTTCATCATCGGACGTCGAGGCAGAATACAAAATTCCACCCGTATCACCTCCACGTCCGTTGTTCCACAACTGAGCGTTTATAAATTTTCCGGCCCTTGTGGCACCAGCTGCCCACTGAAGTATTACCGAACCAATACGACTTAGGGTCCTTCAAGAAAACCGTACCAATTCTTAAAAGTCCAGCAACGCACTCGCGAGCCCTCTGGCAAAGAGAGTGTCAATGGGCGGCGGTGCTACATAACATCCGGTGAGCCTCCTGCCCGTTTGCCCTCTGTTCTATAAAAGTAAATTGAAGCTTAAACCTAACTATAATAGTATATATATGTTTCTTCAGCCGTCTGCCATTCAAAGTCTAGCCTCCTTATCGTGAGTAGGGCCTCCTGCCCCTTTTATAAAAGAGTCTGCCTCTAAGAGGTGTTCTTTAGCAAGTGTTTCTCATAAATATAAGAAAAATGTCTCTTGCAATATGTTGTTCAGCTTAGCTTTTAATTGAAGCGATACCCTTGACCTGACATACACGGGTCAGGTATAAGAAAACTTGTGGTTTTCCTCGTAATACCTAGAAATAAAAAATAGGGCGTATTGTTTCTGCATTTGGGTAATTGATAGATGGATTACTTACTGCTCTAACCCGTAGACATACGTAAACCTTTGTATTATAATAGGGTTGAACGATACAACAGAAATCTTAATGATTTTCTAATAATTCCTTTCTCGAGACATTGTTTGAAAGAACAGATTTATTGACGCGCAATTTTCTAATATATAAAATTCTCGTGTCACGGTGTTTGTAATTAAACTCCTCCGAAATGGCTCTACCGATTTTCGTGAAATTTTGTGTGGTGGTTTTGTGTCGGTTAGGTCTGCGAATCGGACATTTATTTTTCATCCCCCTTAATGTTAAGGGTGGTCCCTAAATTTTATTTTTTAGATAATTTTTGTGGTTTTTATTGTTTATGATAGGTACAGCATACAAAAATACATAAAACCCTTAATTTTCAGTCCTCTATGATCAACCCCTATTTTTTGTTTGTTAATTAAAAACTTGAACTCTGAGGTTTATATAGGGAAAAATTCCTAGAAATACCTAAAAAGTTTTCATTCAGGAAAACCGAACAGTCTGTGGGGTAGCATAGCAAAATTTTCCATGTACTAAAAACATAGGCTAAGTAACACACACACACACATCGCATTAAGGAGAAACGAAGTTCGCGGGGGCAGGTAGTGTATGTTACGTAGGTCAAAGAATAAGACAAAAGTTAGGATTAAAATATAAATAAAAATAATAATTTTACAAACACAGTCGCAAGGAAACTTAATAAGAGTTCAAGGTCATCGTCTCACTTGCTTAATATTCAGATATTTAATTAATAAAACAACTGCTTACTTGCACCCTCCTCTAACCACATATATCTTGATTAACCACAAGGCTATATCGTAGCATGTACATATAGCATCTCTTGTACTTGGCTGTGGTGTAGATAATTAAATGCATTTCTTAATAACTATATGTAATATGTATTTTTGCACTTCTTGCCTTATCTAATTAAATTTTTTCTCTCTCACAGTGGTTGCCTGTAAGAGATCGCTCGAAAGTGATAAAGCCGCCAGTTGCCCTCCTTTTCATTTAATTATGTACAATTTTTATATTGTAATGCAACGAAGTGTTAATAAATAAATAAATAATAGGGTCAGTTAAAACCTTTTGTAAATTATTCTTCATGTTTGCGTTCTAAGGGTAAGTCAGGACAAAAAGGTGTTGAATGATGTTTCAATACAGCAGTCCCACTTAGCGCTATGTTAGGTCTCTGAATATTAGGATGGAACAATGTTTTACAACCTCACAAGCACGTGCGAATAGCTCACATAAACGTAAAAATCCAGCACAATCTGGGTTTCACTTTTGAGTCCTAGCACGATGTTATTAGTATTAGAATTGCTACTATTACAGCTAAATTCTGTATAAAATATATGTTTATACGATATAATATATCGTATCGTATTATACAAAAATAATGATAAGTTTACTAGAATAGAACATACGCACAATGTTAATACTCGGAACAAGCGCAGGCTGCAATTTCCCCGTACTGGACTATCTAAAGTTACTAATTCTTTTTTGGGAACAGAGAAAATCTTCTTTCTGCCTTTTAATAAATTTAAGAAATGTATAAAAGAAAAGTTGTGTAAAAAGGCTTACTATAAAGTTAACGATTATCTAGTTGATAAAAGTGCATGGGACAATTGCTAGGCAGGCTACTTCTAATTAATTTGCGATATTTTATTCTATTTTAAAAGACTACCGAGAGTTTTTTACGCCGCCTTTTTCTCTCGGCCTACACCCTCTGTTTTCATTGCCGATGAGTAGGGATTAATAATTTAATGACGTGGAATAAGTGATACCTGTATCTTATGTTCCATAATAAACATATTTTATTTTAATTTCATATATTATATAAGAAATCCTTTTTTCAGTATATGCGTAACTGTGGTTGTGCTGAATGTCCACTTCCGGTCGCCACAAACTCACCGAATGGCGCCGTGGGTAAAACGAGTGTTCATACACATCCTTCCAAGACTGCTCTTCATGAAGCGGCCTCAGTACAAGTTCGATACTACCAGGTAAAAAAAATATTTTTTTATTTAATTTATTATTGATTAATATATTATATTTAAACTAAAAGTTGGTACGTCTAGGGCTACACCACAGTTAATAAATTCCTTATAAAATAAATAGTTTAAAAAAATACAATTAATACAAAGAGAGCAACTCTAAACATTTTATCCCTTATACATAATATTAAATTGTGCCAAGTAGTTACGTCCCAGGTGGTCTAAAAATATGTTGTTCTTAGGTTCTAAGATTTCTAGTTTTATTTCCATCGTCTGTGGAAATTATCTAGTAATACGTGTAGCGTTATCGCATACACTTATACAGCTAGTTTAGTTTTCTAATTATAATCTATAATCTAAAGGGATCTTCGAATCTTACTCTATCAGATATATAATATAAATTTTCATTTCACAATAAAAAACAGTGATAAAGAATATCTTACGAGATCTTTTGTACTACGCTTCTAGTTAAAGAAGCAGGCAGTTAATGTAAATTTAGTAATTGCAATTATTTCACGTTCATAAGTGTACGTACCTCCTTATAGTAAAGTAAAGAATATTGGGCAATTAATTCAATTATTATACATAGACAAAATCAATCTTAAATGAACCGTTCTCAGGCAGAGATTTTTCTTATTTCACCGCAGCGTGAACTTGATTTAACAGAAAGAGATGCAAGATAGTTTAAACGGTGCTATAAGTCTGACTTCATTTTGTTCTTACTATTAAGTGAGCGCGTCTTGCCTACGGAAGATAAGCGTTTGTTACTATTGTGGCTTTTTGTCTCAATAAGACAAGTGAAGTTGAATGTTTCTTTAACGATTAGTATGGTAATGGTTGCAGTTCCTTAGAAATTCCTTCTTCTCACCTCTACGCCTTTTAAACCGTTCATAAGAATAAAAAGAAAATAATGTTTTTACCGCCGAGAAAATAATACATACGCAATGTACAACATATTATGCCAATGTTGCAGCGCGATATTGTATATTAACTATGATAAAGCCAATTATCAAATCAAAACTCGTTGCCAAACCAACAAACAATAATGTAATTAAAATCTGTATAGTTATTCAATTTCACAAACAAGTGTAAATCAATTATAACTTCGTGAACATTGTTTGTGGAACGGTTGTGTAAGTGTTTAAGTATTTAAAGTTTGAAAACAACTGCTTTTGAATATAGCATGATGACTTTATTATTAAATAAATCGGCGAACGATTTATCTTGCATTACCTAAAATACGTACGAACTACGGCAAAAAAATTGTTTACCTACGAAGATGCACAGCTATATAATAAACTACCCACAAATATAAAAAAAATATTACTTCTTTCAATTCATTCAAATCGAAGCTAAGTGAATATGTTAGACAAATTACGTTTAAATTCATTTCTTATAATTACTTTTAATTCATATTCCTTTGGTTACTTTTAAGTTTATTGCATGTACTGCTATCTTTTTACTGTGATTATTTTAAGTTAATCTAAAGTATTATTCTTATGTAAGTGAGATTTTTTGTCTTTTTTGAGAAAATAAAGTCTTTAAACCTAAATAAAAAAATTGAAATAATTATAACACTCGTTATACCACAGAATCATAGACAATATATTTGATAAAAAAAACACCACAGAGTATACACTAAGAGGTGAGATCTATAGAGCGCACTTAGACTTTGCTCTGACTTAACTATCGAGCTAAGACACAGTCGGTATTTATAGAGCAAACTGCGAATCTCTCCCTAGTGTTGGCTTAGCTTAATCTCAAGTCCACGAAATCGACGACTTACCAAAAACTTTGACTATAAGCCTAACAAAAATAATGGCCCAAAATTTGCTTTACCATCATATCTTTTACTGGACTTTTTATTTTTGTCGATTTTTAATGAACGGTGTTGCCATTTTGTATCGGAGTTCCATAGACTTTGGGAAAAATAGAATTTGAATTGAAAGAAATTATAAATGATCTTGATAAATACCTATGAAATGCATGAAATAAAATAATTACACATTATTATGGTATTTATTGTTGTTTATTTATATTATTTATGTAATTGTTCAAACCCCATTTTTGAGAAATCTTAAAAATAACTGGTGTGATTTTGTATGTCACCTGGCAGCCCTGGCATATTATAGTGACAACGAAATTCAAACTACATATAACCTAACCGATGTCTCTCGCTTCACATCTGTTATTTTCGTTTCCCTGAATCTTCTACCATTTATTACCTGACTACCCTAAAAAATTTGAGATAGGAGTGGAACATATGAAATTAAAAAATCTGTTAGAAATAGAATTTCTTCAACAAAAATATAAATTAGTATTAGAAATATGTATTACACTTAAAAAAAGAATCAGAAAATAAATGATTAAAATGAAACAAGTTTTGTTTTGATATTCTTTATTACCAAACAAATTACCTAGTTAAATTGTGCAATCACAGATTGCCGGAATGCTAGACCTGTAGGAGATCTTTCATTGTTTCTGTGTTACTCAACTTCTGCTGTCAGCAAGATCACCATCATCATAAGCATCGCCTCTCTGTATACCTATATTATGCAATACAGCACAAGCTATAATTATATATAACTAGTATTTGTCAATTTAGACTGTAGTCCTAGCTGTAAACATGGAAATTTCCTTTTTCACACTCCGAAAAACCTTTAAAAAATATGCCTAGTTCTTATTTGAGAATAATTATAAATATTGTCAGCTCTTGTCATTGGATTTAAAAGTGTTGTTAACATGAAGTTAAGTGCTGGATAACCGTTGTCACCTACTAAAACAGGCATTTTCTAAATATCCTGCTGTCGTGTGAACTGCCAGGCCACCTAGTCACTATAGCAAATATTTCCATATCAGGCCCTATTATTGCTTGCACATTTACAGAAAAATACCCTTTTTTATTTCTGTATGCTTCAGAGTGAGCGATACCTTTGGGTCTATTAATTTTTATATGGGTGCAGTCAATAGCTCCGATTATACTGTTTAGGCCATGGGGAGTATTAGATCTTCCTAATTCTTCAAACTTCGTTTTGGCTGTGTTCATATTTCTTGGAAAATTTACAAATCTAGGAAGTAATTTACTCAACTCTGCAGAGACTTTATTTATAATTAAACAGACTGTAGATTGGCTTATGCTGTTCAGATCACCACACACCATCTGGAATGTCAATAAAGTATTATTAGTCACATATATGTTATGTTTGAAAGTCAGAAGACAAAAGTCTTCAACATATGTACTATTTAAAATCATTTGAGAAGAGGTATAATATATCAAATTGAAAAACCATACATATTTATGAACACAATATTACCTGAAAACATCCAGTTGCATTTTTATGCCTTAATGCAATAAGTATTTGCAATTGCGGTAGGTTTGGCGATCCTCTGTTGTTATAAGGTTGCAAGTTTGTAATGATCAGCGTCAGGATCACATTTAATACCGTGTGTTTCAAAATACGGTTCCTTCTTTTGAATTCATTCTCACCGTACAGGATGGAAGGATTTTGGTTTTATTAGTTCCGAACATATACAACACTTTAGGCATTCGTGGATTCATATCGGCTGCAGTTCCTACCCTTTCAATGTTTTCTATTGAAGATAGAACTCTCTCTCTCGGTCCATGTAACAAAGCCAAATCACAAAACGAAAGAAAGATCAATTTAATAAATTAAAGTGGTTTAAAATTTTCAATTGTTGATAGTTGATACAAGTGCTCTGTTGCTGTTGTCAAAACATTGCAATCCGTTCTACGTAATAAAATTATTGTCATCTTTAAATAATTAATACATTTTCTAAAGGTTACTCGTGAATTTCTAGTTATTGCAATAATAAAATAAATGAATACATAAATAACAATAAATTGAAGATATATGTGTACCGTTTTAGATTTTTAAATATTTGTTATTGTTAACTTTTTTAAAGGATAATAAACAAAGTATTGCATGAAATGAAACATCAATTTGTATTTTGACATTTTCTGTCTTAGCTTGGGCTTAGCTTAATCTCACCGTTAAAATGTCTATAAATACGAAATCATAGTTTAACCTTAGTGTACACTAAGCAAAGTTTTTCGTAAGGTAAGTCTGAGCAAAGTCCAAGTGCGCACCACAGAGTATACACTAAGAGGTAAAAAACTATGGATTTAAATATTAGTTCAACATACCAAAAATGTTTCTGATAAAGGAAATAAGTTATGTATGCTATGAGCATGGGCTATGGCAATGACCGGGCTATACCACACTTCTCCTTTAAAGGCCGGCAACGCACCCGCTCAAATGGGTGTCCAAGAACATCGATGCCTGCCCTTTTTGGGCGTCCCGTAGGTTGGTTTGCCGTATATCGTATAAAAAAAAAGTCCTGCACCCATTGTATCGCCTTTTTAAAATATACATTCGATTTTTAGCATCCATTGCAGTAAGGGACATCAGTTGTCTTTGAATCTTCTGTTTCAATGTATAGAATTGAAATTTATAAAAACAAATTGCCAAAAAATTTTCTTAAGAATAAAATCAATAGATGACTGTAATCAAATTCAACAAGATCTTAATAGGTTAGAAATATACTACAAACAAAATAAACTTTCAATAAATATAAACAAATGTAATAAGATAATTTTTTCGCGTAAAAACAAAAAAATTCAATACACTTACAAAATCGATAACACCCCAATAAAACAAGTAAAATTAGTAAAAGACCTGGGAATACTATTAGATGAAAAAATGGGCCTATCACAACATATCGATGACATAACAGGCAAAGCGTATATGCAACTAGGATTTGTCAAGCGGTCATGCAAGACATTTAATAACATACATTGCATTAAAAGCTTATATTTTGCTTATGTTAGAAGCGTGCTGGAGTATGCGAGTGTTATGTGGTCTCCATATTATACAAAATATAAAAAAGCAATAGAAAATATACAAAAAAAGTTTGTAAAATTCCTTAGTTTTAAAAAATACCAATGCTTCGATAGTTATGCTCATTCTTGCACTTATTTTAATTTAGAC